TTATAGAAAAGTACTACTGAGCACTAGGAATATTTTGAGCAGTGATGGGTAAAATATTTTTAAAATTTATCTAGATACAGGTACATGTACGAAAATTTATCTAAATGCAGATATAGATCCACATAATAAGATGTATATAGCTACAGATATCAAATACTTTGAAAGTATCTTCAGATACTCTTAAATTAATTTTATTATAATAATGGTAATGTGTAAAAAAATGTATTAGTTATTAAATGAATTCATTTATTTATTTTTGTTATATTTATATAGATAATTGAAAAAACTTATAAATATCGTAAAATTTAATGCTTCAAGCATTGTGTTTCCAGCTTAACTATACATGCGTTAGAAATTCCACAATCTAAGATCACTGGCTGCGTTCAGCAGAAAAAACAGCTGTGTAATTGTAAAATCCTTAATATGACTGATTTGTATTTAGAAACTGTGAGAAACTAAGGCAAAGACCAATCATGTTACAGAATTTTGTAACAGCAAAGCTGCTTTTTTCCTACGGAATGGAATTAATCGACAATCACACATAAAATGGAATTATAGCTATGCTGAGGAAATGTATCTGAAAAATGCATCTGAAAATCAGTTCAGATGCTGTGTTTTTTTTTGTCTAGATACAGATACAAATACTCGAATTTAAATGTACCTCAGATACAGATTAGATACACAAACTGTATCTCAAATCTAAATACATATATAGAGATATTATGTAACACTGATTTTGAGGCACTATTATACTACAGCACTACAGTTTCCTGCATTTTGTATTTTGCCGAAACGCGGATATATAGAAGATCTTAGCATTACTCAACATTACAATAGTGTAGTAGTACAGTAATGCCTCAAAATATTCCTAGTGCTCAGTAGTACTTTTCTATAAGGGAACCCAGTAAATGAGAATGGATTAAAATAGATTGACATTTGTTTCTATCCGAATGCGTATTTTAAATAGCAAATACTTTTTTTTAGATTTAATTGGATTCAATTAGCTTCAATTGGATGCAATTGGATTGAAAAACTGCATTTCCTATTCAAAATTTTAAATTGAACAGTATTCACAATACACAGAAAAAGCTAATATTATTTTTAGATTGAAAGGCATAGAAATATGCTCCATGCAATTCCTATAAATAAATAAAAATGCATTCAGGATTGAAAAGCATTTATTTTAACATTCGTGAATCAATATTTCTGAAAATCTGAATTTATTTCAATCCATTCTCGTTTGCTGGAAAGTGTGTATAAAATCATGGTATTGTATTCAACAGGATGACACATTTAAATTAAATACCATATTTGTATTACTTTATATAAACCAAGAACAAGGAGCTGTAAGCTTATTGGCTATCGTGCGGAAAGCGTTTTCGTGGTTGCATTTAACAGAAAAAAGTTTTACAACTGTTGTAAAATTCTTTAATATAATTGATTTTTATCATATTAAAAAATTTTACAACAATTGCAAACCTGCTTTTTCTACTGAACGCAGCCAGTGTGTAAAAACCATAACGCATAGTGCATAAGAGAATCAACCAATCAGAATCCTTTCTTTCCTTTTATTTTACGGAAAAGAGGAACTTTTCGAAGAATTCAAGTGGACTTGTATAGCAATCGTAGCAAAAAACATAATAGGCCTGTTCTTTTTAGCTGAACTTTTGCAGTTACTTTTTCTCTTTTTTCTTTTTTTTCAGGAGGAAAGAAGAAAAGAAAGATGAATTGGTGCAAAAGTTCAACCAAAAAGAACACGCCTAGTGTAAATATATATATAAAGGTAAAAAGCATTGTGTATAATTGCGATAGCATACTGAAAACAACTAATCATATTTGTGCTTAAATGCACTTTTCTGGGTATCACAGCGCTGGAATACTGGAACAGCCAATCAAAATTGCGCAAAAAATTATGTTCAAATCATTCTCCTATTGCAGCGTATCTACGGGAACGCTTCACCTTATATATTTACATCATAGCTACGAATGAGTGTACATATATTCACCGACTAAAAGGTTGCAATATTTTTTTTTAATAGATTTTAGAATGTAGCTGCTCACCTAGCGATTGGTTTTTACTTGTGGATCCATAAATAAAAACCAATCGCTCGGTGAGTAGGCTGCATTTCGAAAACGTAGAAAAAAATCTGTTACAAACTTTTAGTCGGTAAGTGTACATCAATTGTCCACATCGCTAATTGGTTAATTTAAAATAATGTAATCTTATTGGTGAAATAATGAAAAATTACTAGGAACCGGTAAGTTGCGTGTGCAATTGAACTGTGCAAGTGCGCCGCTTCCGCCAAGAACATTAAAATGGAGTTTGACTAACCAAAATGCGAAAGACAAAGGCTGGCTTCTTGGTTCCGATTGGTCGCGTGCTCTGTAATCGCTGTCCTCAAATTTGGACACTTTCATGAACAGATTACGGTATACGGCCGCTATTTTATTTGCGCGTTTTTGCCATAAAGGGCGCTTTCCATTTGATGACACAAGTCGACACAAACATCATTTTATCCTTCTTGACATTGAAAGAGTGACAAAGATAGACACGACACTTGTGTCGACTTATGTCATCAAATGGAAAGCACCCAAATTTTCCAAGCCTGATGATTGGCTGCAGGATAGAAAGATTCAAGGATCTTTCTGGTTTGCACCCATTTGTCGTACGACAAATGGTATCGACGCAATAGTCGATTAGCTTTCATCACGTGCCATCGTTTCCGGTTTCCCGTAGAAAATCGAAGAATCGCGAGTTTTGCTCGCGCGTCGTCTCCTCTACGTTTTCCCGCGAAGCCACGCACGTGTTTTTCGAGGCGTAGTCGCACCGGCGATCAGTCATACGGGAAGGGGGGACGAGACGCGAGGAAATAGTTTCGAAAGACTTTTTTTTCTTTCAAGAGAATACGAGAAAAATCTTTATAGGTTTCCGGTTTTTCTTTACGTACGAAATTACGTTGAAAGAGCGAGGATTGATAGTGTACAGCCATGCGGCGGGTATCGACGCTTGCAGTATGTGTGCGTAAACGGCGCGTCGATTGCGCATTTCGAAGATGGCCATTTTGGCGGGTGACGTGTTGCGTACGCGCTGCCGAGCGGCCATAACACGTATTCGCGGCGTGAACGATGTGCACGTCACTCCGTCGTTATGAGAAGTCCGCGGTTACGTGTACGCGACCGTCATGGACACCTAGAACCAAATCAACGTCATGAAATGTCGAGGAAACTTGATCGACGAACATACCGGCTAGATCGTGATCTCACAGTCGCACTCATCGCGTACGATTGCTAGAACACGCTAGAAGGGCGAGGGAGAGGGGACAAGGCACTATGGGAGCAATTTGCGACAGGCGCATGCGCAGATCAGTTTACGGTTGGAGCTTGAAAGAAAATGGCGTCAGCTAAGTTTCTGGAGGAAGCTCTGAGCACGGATGTCGATGAATCCGCAGTGAACGCGATAGTGGGTTCCCTCGAGACGCAGCTTGTGACGTCCACGCCGACTGTCGCCGGCCATCAAGCGAGTTCCGCATCGGTCAGCCAGCAGAATCACCAGGTGAACAGCGCTATTTCCAACGGGGGCACCATCACCGCGGTACAGCCACAGAAACATGGGGTTTCGAACGGCGGCGGTGCGACTACCGTGAATAGTCTAATGACTCAGGAGGTCACCAAGTCGATTACTACCAGCACTCTGCTGCCTGTGAACGTGGTTACCTCGAATACAGTGGCGCCACAGGTCATCACCACGCAGCAGCAGCCGCCGCAGGTACAGCCACAGCAGCAACAGCAGCAGCAGCAGCAGCACGCACAACCGCCAGGAATATCTCCCGCTACATATATTAATCAAGTGACGACTAATCAGGTGTCCAGTAATCAGACTACACATATACCAAGTTTGACCAAGACGCACGAACCAGTGAAACTTATCTATCCCACAGTCGGACAAGTTATTGCCACTACGGGGGTAGCAAATGCTAATAATAAGCTCTCCTTTCCCGCTCAAACTGTCGGGCAGTTAGCAAACGGTACTTTAGGTATAACGTCGCAGGCAGTGTTGCAGACTACAGCGAACGTTGTTACCAATGTTGGTTCTGTTAGCCAAACGGGGAGTCAAACAGTGACCGCAGTGAATAAGCCAACAGGGGCAGCTTTAGTGATTAAGACAAGTGTAGCGCCTGGCATGGTTTCCGTTCCAATGTCTGTACCAGTCTCTGTGGCTGGCAATGCAGTCAGCACAGCGTTGCAGGCTAAGGGTGGGGTTACTTCGACGATAGTACCCAGTAATGTTCAAATCCTTAATGTAAATACGATGCGTCCTGCAACGCCGGTAGCAGGACAGCAAGCTAATAAACAAGTTACACCAAGAGTGGTGATTGGACAACACCAATTAGTTGGAGCTAGAGCTGGAGGTCCAGGGGTAAGACGTTCCAGTTAGCATTTGCTACGATAAATGATATAAAGTTTCTTTTCTCTTTAATTTACATACACCTGTATAGTATGTACAAAAGTGTATTGGAATTTATCTTGGCAATTTTATCTGTGTATTTGGATTTCTATATCTCTACATGAAATATATTTTCGTTAAACTAATTTTGACTTATATTAAAAACTTTAAAAATATACAGAATTTTAGTGCTTATATTGCTTTACTTGTACTATATATTTATTATTAATTTATATAATTAATTGTTCAAAGAATAACTTTTTATTTATAATAGAAGATAAACTGTAAGAAAATATTCTGATAATATAACTAACTATTATTATCTTCAATTTTTAGATAACATTACAGGCACTTCACAGCCTTCAAGCTGGTGCTCAAGGTCATCTGTTATTAAAAACAGAAAATGGACAGTATCAGTTACTAAGGGTGGGTCCAGCTCCAACTGCGGGTACTCCCACTGGTACTGCAGTTACACCAAATAGTATAACTGGCAATGCAGTAGTTGCTGCACCATCTCCAGGCACTACGTACCGCCTAACTTCAGTGCCGACTGTAAGTAGGCTGAATACTCAGTTCACTGGCCCACCACTCGCCACCCTAAGAAAATCTGTTCAGGTGACGCACTTTTATACCTCTTACAAGACTCGTTGTAGTGCTACTGTAGATATTTATTAGTTTGTGATTTTGTTTTCTGTGGAATGATGTTATCAGTAAGCCAAATATATTTTATGTTTACTGTTTGTCCACACTAAATTTAATTACGACATAAAACTTTTACTATTAGTTTATTTATTGATTGTTTGCAAACATTTTGTGCATTATATACTAAAAAGCACAGTGTATTATAATTATAATTTTTATAAATATTTTACATGCAAATTCTTTTTTGAATGCAAAAGTTTTATGAGCAATTTTGTTATAGTCATCTTTAATATCTATTTTTGTTTTTCTACATTTATTCCACATTTCATTGTAAAAATTTAACATAATTGATAACATCTCAATATTAGCTTATTTTTTGGGATGCATTTCTCTGGTAGTACATCTAAGTTTTATGAAGTAAATGCGTTAAAGTTCAATGTCTATCCAATTTAATTGCATGAATTATTGGTTAAAGGTGTTATGTAGAAATTGCTATATTAGATGAAAAATAAATTATTTTAAGAAAGAATATAATTGAGGACATCTATATATATATCTTTTATATTTACTTTTTATTCTATATTTTTATACATATATTTTTAAAAATTTTATATTTCTTCCTAATGTTATAGTACAAGCATGTGATTTTCAAAATTTTTATGAATCTATTTTTCATAAGCCTATATTCTAATTGGTATTGAGAAATAACAATAAAACAAAAAATTTTTTTCATCTATCTTTGTCTATCTCTTTACTATTATATTATATTATATATTGAATAAATGATGGTATATAATAATATAATTTGGTTAAAAAATTGGTATATTGCACAATTACTTTCAAAAAGGTTTTTATACAAATTCTTATATAAGTAATCGAAATTAGATAA